CAGTACAGTGGTCAGAATTTAGCAATTTTGCCAATTTCACACAAATTTCAAAAGATGCCAATTTCGGAATAGGGTCCAGAATAAACAAGAAAGACATTCCTGGCACTAAAATGACATTTCCTCTAGTCATTAGTCACGTCTCAAGGCCCCTCTTATATTCTTTTGCTTTCCACTTTGAATTTTTATTCTCACAAAAAATATAAGATTTACTGTTATGCAGACTACTGCATTAGTGTAAAAAATGGTATAAATATTATTGGTGCACTTGTGAAAGAATATTAGACTCACCAGTTGACGTGTATTGCACGCTTGGCACGATTTGTTTACTTTTGAAGTTTGGTAAAAATCGAACATTTCTGCTACTTTGAGCTCAATTTCAAGGCACCTTTCATTGTAAAACCAGTCAAAATCATCTCAATTTCAGTAATATGTCTTCCATTCTATAAAATGAGACCAAGAAAACTAGAATACAACAATAAATACTATACGAAAATACACTGCAAAGTCGCTGATTTATTAAAAAAAATGGAAAAAGTTTTTTTTTTCTCATTATGCACCGTGTGCTGCAGGATTTTTTTTAGACTGTGCACACTGACCACATAGACCCATTCTTTCATATGAAGGCCTACCAGCTTTCTCCCACTAGATTTGAGGTCGCTAGAATTTATGAGTACTAGTACGTCAAAAACCCCTACGCGTAAGACGTACTAGTACGACGAAAACCCTCAAAGGGTTAATGACTATTTTTTGTCAGTTTTTACACAGGAAGATGTAAATGAGATTCCAGTAATTAACAATTATTTAGTTCCTGTTGAATTTAAGTTAACTAATATTACTGTCACGAGGGACATGGTTATTAAACAGATAGACAAACTGAAACAAAATAAGTCCCCGGGACCCGATGAGTTGTTTTCAAGGGTACTTAAGGAATGCAAGATGGAGCTTAGTCAGCCATTAACGAATGTATTCAATGCGTCCATCCTTACCAGTGTTGTGCCAGAGTTGTGGAAGATGGCTAATGTGGTTCCTATATTCAAATCAGGGGATAAGTCCACTCCTTCAAATTACCGTCCAATAAGCCTGACATCTATAGTGGGCAAGTTATTAGAATCAATTATAGCTGACATTATCAGAAGTCACCTTGAAGAGCATAACTTGATAAATGAATCTCAGCATGGATTCACGAGAGGTCGTTCCTGCCTGACAAACTTATTGACGTTCTTCAATAGAACATTTGAGGCAGTTGACAGTGATAGGGAGTATGATATTGTTTATTTGGATTTTAGTAAGGCCTTCGACAGAGTACCTCACAAGAGACTCTTAAGAAAAGTGGCAGCTCATGGTATAGGAGGGAAAGTTCTAGCATGGATTGAGGCATGGCTTACCAATAGAAAGCAGAGAGTTACCATTAATGGAGTGAAATCTGAATGGGGATTAGTCACTAGTGGCATTCCACAAGGATCAGTTTTAGGCCCTCTCCTGTTCATAATTTACATTAATGACCTTGATGAAGGGATTACTAGTGACATAAGTAAGTTTGCTGATGATACAAAGATAGGCCGTATAATTCACTCTGAGGAGGATATCAATGAACTCCAGGACGATTTGAACAAATTAATGTCTTGGTCTGAAAAATGGCAGATGAAGTTTAATGTGGATAAGTGTAAGGTACTTGCCCTTGGTAATGAAAAATAACCCTCGAAGCTATAATCTAGGTGAAGTAGAGCTTGGTCATACAGAATGTGAAAAAGTACTTGGGAGTCATGGTAAGCAGAAATCTAAAGCCAAGACAGCAGTGCTTAGTGTGCGCAACAAGGCCAACAGATTACTTGGCTTTATCTCAAGAAGTATAAGTAACAGAAGTCCAAAAGTTATTTTACCACTCTATACATCACTAGTGAGGCCTCATTTAGATTATGCTGCTCAGTTTTGGTCCCCTTACTACAGGATGGACATAGACTCATTAGAGAACATACAGAGAAGAATGACTAAAATGATTTACTGTGTAAGGAACCTCCCATATGAAGATAGACTTAAAGCCTTAAATCTCCACTCTCTGGAGAGGCGTAGAATGAGGGGAGATATCATTGAAGTGTATAAGTGGATGACAGGCATAAACAAGGGAGATATTAATAAAGTACTGAGGGTGTCGAACCAGGTAAGAACAAGAAATAATAGATATAAGTTGGATAAATTTAGATTTAGAAAGGACATAGGTAAGTACTGGTTTTCTAACAGAGTTGTAGATGCGTGGAACAGTCTTCCCAGTGGGGTGGTAGAGGCTAGGACCTTGGGTAGCTTTAAGAAGAGACTGGACAAATATATGAGTGGGAGGGGCTGGGTTTGATTGGTGTCATGGGGTACGGGAGTTATTTCTTGGGTAGCTTTAGGTAGATGTCGTTTTGATAAGGACCTGCCTCGTATGGGCCAGTAGGCCTTCTGCAGTGTTCCTACATTCTTATGTTCTTATGTTCTTAGGAAAACCCAAAGGAGAAAGAGGAAAGGAGAATGGGGAAAGAAGAATCAGGTTAAGTCATGGGTGTTCTGAAGTTTGGAGCATTTTACAATGTAATGGGAAAGGAAGGCATCTACAGAGACAAAGCTAGGACTAAGATTCATACAAAGAAAGGTAGGTAAGACAATAGGCAACAGATAGTTCCAGACTATGGAACAGAACATCTCCAGGCTGAGGGACTGACAACCTCAAATCTACGACTTCAAGGGTGATGGACTGATTACATCGTCTTCACATCTCTACTGCTCCTGCCTACTTTCTGTACTCGACTGAAGAAGCCTACTGTGTAGGCGAAACGTTTTGGAATAAAGTTGCCTAACTGTTGCCTATGTGTCTTACCTACCAACCTGTCGGTATTGTATACCATTTTGATATTCACTCATACAAGGAAAGTTGTGTATGTAGATGACATCTTTGGTCTTTGGCCTCATGACTCTAGCCACTGTGTAGCTTCATCAGTACAATACAAAGTGGGCCAACAGGCCTGCTGCAGTGTTCCTTCTTTCATATGTTCTTATCTTGTATAAGTGTCTCAGTCTTCAGTGGGAATTTAATTCCTTGCTTCCTTTCCTTGATGTTAATATCCACCTCTCAGATACAGGTTTTGGTTTTTCCGTGTAGAACAAGCCTATGCACAGTGGCATATACATTCACTACTGTGATAAATGGTTTGAAAACTGACAAGTTGAAGATTGAGACACTTATGGGAATCATTATTTAGGAAACTTTTTGCCACACAATGGCTTCTTCAGTCCAATACAAAGTAGAAAGGGGCAATGTTTCACTTTCCAGGAACTTTGTCAAGCTGATACAAACAATACATGGACACAGAGGGTATATATAGGCTTTGAGTGAGGTGTAGTACAAGTAGAGGTGGTAGTAGTTGTAGTTGTTCTTATGTTTTTATACATGTGGTGGAAAAGCTTTGGGTAGGGGTAGTTTTGATAAGGACCTGCCTTGTATGGTCCAGTAGGCCTTCTGCAGTGTTCCTCCATTCTTATGTTCTTACGTACCACGGTTATTTCAACATTTCATGAATGTCAGTTCTCACCCGTTCGTTTATCTTGATTCATGAACATGATTGGTATCACCAATAAGTGAAAGTAAAGTTCAAAATAAGATAATTACCCGACCCTTTGTCTGTTTAACCCAGCCACATATACACCACCTGGACCAAACTCACTCGTGGGTGGTGCAGCAGACACAGTATGTAACGTCACTGATGATTGATCATAGTGATGCCAGGGCAATTAAGGTTTTTCCAAAACATCATAAATAAAATTATCGATTTATCGTAGTTTATCATATAGCGTCATTGATTTTCCCTATATAGGCCTATTTGTACTCTGTAATCATATAATAGGTTATATAGAAACAAAGGATTTTTCTCTGTTGCTGCAGCACTGCCTAGTATGGGCCAGTAGGCCTGCTGCAATGTTCTGCCTTTCTTATATTCTTAGTGTCACCCTCTTTAGAGGCTCTTTGGTGTCACCTTCTAAATGGTGTCACCTGGGGTGCCCTTCCCCTCTTAACGACACCTCTGGTGCATAATGCCCTCAGTGAAAAGGAGAGGGAGCCAACTTCCCTGAGTAAACTAAGAGATAATACAGTGAGTATAAAGGGACAAAGACTCAACACCCTCAATCCAGACATAAGAGGGGATTATCCAGACCTCTTGACTATCTTTAAGAGGAAGTTTGGAAATTTCAAGTGAATTCCTGATCAACTGGGCTGTGTTGTGTATGTTGGATTGTGTATGGCTAACAGCCTTGCTGATCAGGCAACCATCAGGAGGCCTAATGTGGGACTGAGTTGCAGGGACATTCACCCCCAAAACCATCTTCAGATAGTTTTCAGGTATACTTACATTTCAACGTGTAAAATGGCCAACATTTTGGTGAAGTACATTTCCTGGAGATGGGAAGTACAGTGCCTGCACTCTGAAGGAGGGGTGTTAATGTTGCAGTTTAAAAACTGTAGTGTAAAGCACTCTTCTGGCAAGACAGTGATGGAGTGAATGATGGTGAAAGTTTTTCTTTTTTGGGCCACCCTGTTTTGGTGGGAATTGGCCAGTGTGATGATGATAATAATAATAATAATAACAATAATAATAATAATAATAAAAAAAAACATTTCCAGCTTCATATTTTTTGGGGTGCCCCCTGTACTGAACAGTATATGGACTTGGTCCTGATTTTAATTGCTTTAGATTTGTTGCATGTATATTCCCAGGAAATCTACTAATAACTGTATTATTTGGATGCTTTGAAGGTCTTTATGGACAACTTAAAAGTATTAAATTGGAGGTGTTTGTTCAAGATTACTTAAAAAAAATTGTACTGTATTGTGAGCTATTCCTTATGAGGAGACAGAGTTATGTATTTAGCTGCCATAATGTAATTTATCTCTACTTAGTATAAATTGTTTTCTTCTCTAAGTTGTATGCTTCAGATGTCTCATGAAAGATGTACAATTTTTTTCATAGGTGGTGGCAATCAAGAAAATGTCATATAATGGAAAACAAAGTGCAGAAAAGTGGCAAGATATTCTTAAAGAGATAAGATTCCTTCGTAGTCTTCGTCATCCCAGCACCGTCACTTATAAAGGTTGCTACCTAAAAGAGTCAACAGTCTGGGTAAGTTCAAATTACTGTTAGAAATAGTCATAAATTGTTCTTTACATTGCAGTGGAATCTGTAATAACAGGATAGGCTATGTATATGTACAAGTTCATATTTTGATCTTTGGGTTTTTACATGTGAATGTAGGCCTTGTTTAAGGCTAGTACTCCCTTAGAGGGTATTAGATAATTTCTGTGGAGTGTGATGCATGTCGTGATGATGACCTGGAATAATTATTTTTTTACACATTCTCTGGGGCACTGCAAAGTAATTGCAAAAACTTTTGTTAATTTTTTTTATCCTTGTAGATTTAATTATCTCAAACCCCTTCCCATTGACTTCCTTTTTCCCTTTTATCCTTCTTGCCCTCCTCTCCTCCCTATTCCCCTTCCTCCTCTCTCTCTGCTACTATTCCTATTTCACTTATCTTTTGTCTCCATCTCTTCACATTTAAATACAGATATGGTTCCCAGCAATGAAAGAGTTGCCACTGAGTCCTAGCCCCATTTTTGGATCTTTCTATGATTACCATGGACTCAGATTGGAAAGTATATTTTATGAAAGATAGGAATATGCTGTTGGTTTTCTCTGTAAGTTATCATAAGCTGGATTAGATGCTAATAATATCCCTCAGAAATTTAAACTCAGGATCTTTCAGTTTCTCTTCCGGTATGGTAACAAAATTTCTCAGCATCCTAAGTCATTTTGCCTACCTTCAAATGTTGAGGACATTTAAATGTGCAATTGGGGATGTGCATATTGCATATTGTGTGACAATTGTGAAAATAAAACTTTTTGCCACTTAGATAGTTTGAATGAGTGTTCAGATTGATAAGGTCTGCTGCAGCTTGCATATTAAAGTCAAGGTTTATGGAAAGAAGTAATAACAAACTTGAAGAAATAATGAAAAATATGAAAATGGTGATCATTTACTGAATAATAAGGCAGAGAAAATAAAGCTTAACAATACCAAGTAGTGCTACACATAGGCTAAAGAGGAGACCATCAGTCCCAGACTCAGGCTAGTAGGTGTAGTGCTACTATGGGTGATGAAGGCCAAGAGCTTTATTACCCCTCATTACCATTTTTCAAGATCTATTGTAAACAAATTTCATTTTCAAAGTTAGACAAAATCTGTAATTCTGATTAATGATTTGTTTTTCCAGTTGGTAATGGAATATTGCCTGGGCTCAGCTTCAGATATCATTGAAGTTCACAGACAGCCTTTACGAGAAGAAGAAATCAGTTCTATTTGTGAGGGCTGCCTTCAGGGTCTCTCGTATTTACACTCATTAGGAAAAATTCATCGTGACGTTAAGGCTGGCAACATTCTTCTTACTGAAAATGGCACAGTCAAACTAGGTAAGCCTTTCTTAAATTAAATGTACAGTAGACAGTCAATTACCATGGTGGTTACGTTCCTGGAAACTCGGTATTAGATGAATCTGTGTTAAACAAACTGAAAAACTTACGGGCAAAATAGGGTAATGTTCCTTGGACCCACAAAAAGTCATTTTTTTTTTTAGGTCCCACATCTTACAGAAATAAAAATGATAGTGTAATTTTGTTCATTGTCGTGATGTATTATGTTCTATTGCTGAAGGCTACAAATGCAAAAAGAAACGGTATTTCTTAAGGACCTTAAGTTGTTGTTGATAGTGTTTGTTGATGATTGTGAAGAGAGTGGAGAGGGATGCTGTGGCCCTACTGGGCTGAACTGGATGATTGAGGTTCTGGTACTAAAGTCGATGGTTGTACTGGAGTATGCATAAATTCTGTAATGGATCTCTCGGCTGTTTTACCCTGTATTACATAATAAAGCTGACAGTAAGGCATCATCAGCTGCTTTAGACCCCATTTCAGAACACTGCTTGTAGATTTGTCAGGGTCCTCTTCAGTGAAACAGTCTGCTAGTTTAGCAGCAACATGGAACTGCTCACATAACTGTTGCAATGTTAACTGTGTTTCTTCAGGTTTTTCATCCTCTGTTATCTGCCTCCCTTGTATCTGCTTTGAGCTCTGCCAACATTTCCCCTGGATTCCTGTCATTGTCGTCATCTTTCTTGTCTTCAAAACAATCACCTGGTAATCTCCTTGCCAGCTGAAAAATTTCTTGTACTTGACTCTGAAGCAAGGGAAAAACCACTGAAAGAATTAACTACAGAAGCTCGTAACTTTTTTGCAGCCTGCATTGAATGTTGATTGGGGCACTTCATTCCATGCACTTCTAGTATAACTGATGGCATCTGCAATGTTGAGTTTATTCCAGAAGTTTGATACTGCTAGGCTGGAGTCAGAGTCCATTGATGCAACTAGTTTTTCATCACTTTTTGTATGTTGTTGAACTTGAATTACGTAACCCTTTGAGAGTCCTTCCCGTAGTTCTATGCCATGAACTCGGCTCACTCAGATAAGCTGTGAGCATTAAATTTGGGCCTAGATATGAGAAAATGGATATGTATGGTAAGTGTACACCATATAAAACAAATCCTGCAGCACCCAGTGCATAATGAGAAAAACTGCAACGGTGTTTTTGGATTAAAACAGCGTATTTGCTGTGTATTTTTGTATGTTTTTTATGGTTGTATTTATGATTTCTTGGTCAAATTTGATAGAATGGAAGATATATTACAGAAATAGAGATAATTTTGATTGGTTTTAGTACTGAATATAGCTTGAAATTTAGCTTAAAGTAGTGAAACTTCGATATTTGCTGATGTTCAGGAGTAAACCAGTGACGTCATGCGACCAATACACATGAACTAGTGGGTCTAATATATATGCATGAATATGCTGATATTATTTATACAATTATTACAATATTGCATAACAGTAATTCTATTTTTTGGTGTGAATAAAAGTTCTTTGTGAATTAAAAATCAAAATGGAATTCATCTGTAAAGCCTGGAAACATAACTAATAAACAGAGGAAATGTTATTTTAGTGCCAGGAATGCTTGCATTGTTTATTCTGGACCCTATTTTGAAATTGGAATATTTTGAACTTTGTGAAATTGGTCAAATTACCAATTTCTGATGACTTTATTGGATAATTGAAACAGTTGATTGGGCAGTTTCTTGTGCTCAGTCGATAAAATAGAAGTCATACTAGTGAAATAGCTAAGAATTTGGTCAACTGGAATAATGTAATGGGCCTAAAATAGGAGTCAGTGGGTAAAATCGCTGATGCGTAAATATCGCTGATGCAGTAAAATTCATGGTGTAATTTCGTCAGTTTTCCATCAAATTTTGTACCTTTTTTCATTGATTTCAGAAAAAGATTCTCTACCATTTCATTAGAATTTTTTTTTTTTTTTTTTTTTTAAATTCTTGGACTCTGTGGACAAGGCATGGAACTACGGCTTGGACCCTCAAAGGGTTAATAACTCCACAGTCGAGTGGCTGTATTAAAGATGTTGTATTTGTAAGTAAAAATATAACTTTTACATGTAGGTTCACATCCAGCAAGGCTTCTGGATGAGTAAAGAGAAACTTGAATGTAAGGTTCTTGCTGTGCAGGTAAAACTTGACCTCAGGAAAGAAGTGATGCTTAAACCAGTCAATAAATATTTCCTCTTATCTTTGATGACTGATTTGACCTCCAAATTGCTGGTAGGGAGTCTTTATCTACAGCTTTCAAAGCATGAGAATTCTTGGAACGGTAAATAGCCATGGGTTTACACTTGAAATCATCTGATGCATTACTGCAAAGGAGCAAAGTGAGGTGCACTTTTTACTTGCTGACTGATAAAAGTTCTTCTTGGCATTTTCTTTCAAAAAAACACTTGTCTCATTAGCATTAAACATTTGCTGTGGCTCATAGCCACCTTTAGAAATAATTTCCTGCAATTCAGCAGGGAAATTACTTGCTGCTGTATGATCAACTGAATCACTGTCACCAGAAAACTTAATATTTTGTAGCCTATTATGTAACTTAAACTTGTGGAACCAGCCAGTGATAAACACACACACTCTTGTTCAGGCCTTCCTCATCACACTGTTTTATAGAACTGTAGGGCTTTTTCCCTAATTAAGATGAAATTAAGTGGTGCACATTTCTTTGTTTTCTGTTCAGTCCACTTAGACAATAAGTTTTCTGTATTTTTTACCTGTTGTGATCTGTGTGTCATTCTTTTCAGGAGATGACAACCTGGGTTATTACACAAGCCCATATATTTTCCTCACTCTTTTTAATTGTATGAACTGATGCTTCATTAAGGCCATAAACTATCGCCATGTCCACCACACGTGCATCGCTTTTAACCTTGTCTTATATCTCTTTATCTAATTCTTCTTTCAACAGACTGACTTTATCCCACTGAGCAGGGTGGCCCAAAAAGAAAAACAAAAGCTTCTCTTTTTAACTTCGGTATTTTATACAGGAGAAGGGGTTACTAGACCCCTGCTCTGCATGTTAGTTGCCTCTTGTGACACACAGTGGCTTACAGAGGAAAAATTTTGTTCCACTTCCCCATGGAAATAAGAAATAAGAACAAGAACTAGTAAGACAATAGAAGAAAACTCGGAGGGGTGTGTATATACAATGACACCTCTCATATCCGAACTACAGTGGACCCCCGCATAACGATATTAATCCGTTCATGAGAGCTCATTGTTATGCGAAATTATCGTTATGTGAATGAATTTTCCCCATAAGAAATAATGGAAATCAAATTAATCCGTGCAAGACACCCAAAAGTATGAAAAAATTTTTTTTACCACATGAAATATACATTTTCCTACACACAAAGAGAAGGATACATGCACAATAGTAGAGTAGTACATGCACAGTATATATTGTGCATGTACTACTCTACTAAATGAAGAATAAATGACACTTACCTTTATTGAAGATGCAGCAATGACTGATGAGACACTGTGTCATGGGAGTGCCTTTTCCTCCTGAGTACTGTAGGTCCTGTTTGGCATTTTCTTCCAGAACTGGCCTTATCACACTGTGTATGCCACTACGATTCTTAAATCTCTCAAACCAACCTTTGCTGGCTTTAAATTCACCAATATGAGCACTAGTTCCAGGCATTTTTCCCTGTTCACCTAGGTGTTAGTCGACTGGTGTGGGTTGCATCCTGGGAGACAAGATTAAGGACCCCAATGGAAATAAGTTAGAGTCCTCGATGATGCACTGACTTTCTTGGGTTATCCTGGGTGGCTAACCCTCTGGGGTTAATTGTTTCTCGGTAATTGTTTCACGTTAAGCCACACCAACAACACTCTCTCCACATCTTCAAGTAATACAGCTGACGGTGGTGCAGCAACAACAGCTGGGGTGCAGCTGACCATGGTGCAGCAGCAGCTGGGTGCAGCAACAGCTGACCATGGTGCAGCTGCAGCTGTGGTGCAGCAGCAGCTGACTGGTCCAATTTATCAGCTGACCGTGGTGCAGCAGCAGCTGACTGTGGTACGATAGTATTTATCACCCTTTTTACCACAGGGTTGGCCCTAGAAGCTTTCTTTGGGCCCATGGTGGCTTATTTAGCAGTTACAAGCACTATAAATAATGGAATAATACAAAATGTATCGAATGTATGCATGCAACCGGCCACCCTGGCTTGTAAACAATGACGGCAAGGCAGGCGCTTACGCTGGACGGACAGGTTCGGGACGAGTCATGTTCAGAAACAGCTGATGGTGCAACAGCAGCTGACTGTGGTGTACAGCAGCTGACTGATCCAGCAACAGCTGATTGGTCCAGCAACAGCTGACTGGTCCAGCAACAGCTGACTGGTCCAGCAACAGCTGACTGGTCCAGCAACAGCTGACTGATCCAGCAACAGCTGACTGATCCAGCAACAGCTGACTGGTCCACCAACAGCTGACTGATCCAGCAACAGCTGACTGATCCAGCAACAGCTGACTGATCCAGCAACAGCTGACTGATCCAGCAACAGCTGACTGGTCCAGCAACAGCTGACTGGTCCAGCAACAGCTGACTGGTCCAGCAACAGCTGACTGGTCCAGCAACAGCTGACTGGTCCAGCAACAGCTGACTGGTCCAGCAACAGCTGACTGGTCCAGCAACAGCTGACTGGTCCAGCAACAGCTGACTGATCCAGCAACAGCTGACTGATCCAGCAACAGCTGACTGATCCAGCAACAGCTGACTGATCCAGCAACAGCTGACTGGTCCAGCAACAGCTGACTGGTCCAGCAACAGCTGACTGGTCCAGCAACAGCTGACTGATCCAGCAACAGCTGACTGATCCAGCAACAGCTGACTGGTCCAGCAACAGCTGATCAGTGGTGCAGCAGCAGCTGACTGATCCAGCAACAGCTGACTGGTCCAGCAACAGCTGATGTGGTGCAGCAGCAGCTGACTGATCCAGCAACAGCTGATGTGGTGCA